GCAAATATTAAAGTGTCCAATCGAACAACATTTAAGCATTTGCACGTAGATGTAGCATCTGATGCAAAAAACGAATAGGACCAAAGACGATTGTGTGTTGATACATCGTTACGAGTAGCTCTAAATGAGATGATTTGACTTGAGCCAAAAAGTAATTAAGATAGAAAATGACAAATCAATACTATCCTCTTCAATAAGCTAAACCTAAGCTTAACGTCTGATTATAGTTTGGACCTATTTTCATCTATACTATATATAAAGCTTCTAAAGACGTCCATATATGATTTAATTCAACCAATAAAGCGATAGGCCATATCAATATTTAAATTTAAATTAATTTTTCTTTTATTGTTAATAGAAAATTTCCAATTCTTTTAACACTATAAGAAAACAGGTTCTTAGCAACTCCCAGAAGTGTCACAAATTCATCGCAAACATCTCACTTGCAACTACTCTGCGACGCAAAATGGTAGTCGCTAAACATTCGTCGCTAATTTTTTGCGTCGCAAATGCGTCGCAAATTTGCGACGCCTTTGTGACAATTATATATAGTCGGTAATTTGTGATTACTTTGCAACGTTATTATAGAGTCGCAAATTAGCGACTAATTGGTGACACCCAATAATTTGCGACAATTTAGCGACTGATATTATCGTCTTAAATTTGTGACTACTGTATGACGCATTTGTAGTCGTAAAATTGCGACACTTTTGGGACTGCTGTGTTCTTCACGAATGATAATTTGTAGTCGCATAATAGTCACTGATGTGTCACAAATTAACYACTATTTGGCGACGATTAAAAAAGAATAGTCGCAAGTTAGTCACTAAAGCGTCAAGAATTACCTACTACTTTGCGACGCGTGCTATATTTTTGTTAGGAAATTTCAGATGCAGTCTCAGATTTGTCACTATAGCGTCATAAATTACCCACTCTTTTATGACGTATTCAGTATTTTGTTATGAAATATCAGATGTAGTCGCAGGTTTGTCACTTTAGCGTCACAAATTAGCCACTCTTTTGTGACGCTTACAATATTTTTGTATAGAATATCAGTTGTAGTCGCAAGTTAGTCACTTTAGCGTCACAAATTATCCACTACTTTGTGACGCTTGTTCTGTTTGTTCGTTAAGGTATTGCATTTTTGCAACTATTTTGTGACTTAAACACAATACCTAGATTTGTATAAAACTAAATTGTTTCCG